TTTAGAACATCTGTACCTATATTGTAACAATTTCATTGTAGCAAACGGAACATTTTAAACATAGTAACAATCTCATAATTGAAACAATGTATTTTGCATAGCTGTGACACCAACACATTGTGCAGTTACAGAAGACGGTAGAAATTGTGATATAATATTACCAGTATATTACTAAAAGATGGCTATTATATTCAACACAATATAATACTATTTGATATTATATTACTAAAAGAGGCTCTTAATATTCAACACATATAATACTATTTGATATAATACTCCAGTATATTACCTAAAGATGGCTAAATATTCAACACAATATAATAATATTTGATATAATACTACCAGGTATTACTAAAAGATGGCTATACTATTCAACACAATATAATACTATTTGATATAATACTACCAGTATATTATGAAAAGACGGATTATAATATTCAACACAATGTAATAACTATTTGATATAATACTACCAGTATAGACTAAAAGATGGCTATAATATTCCACACAATATAATACTTATTGATATTATCATTACTTAAAAGACGGGATAAATATTCAACACAATATAATACTATTGATATAAATAATACCGTATATTACTAAAAGTGGCTATAATATTCAACAAAATATAATACGATTTGGATATAATTCCCATATATTACTAAAAGACGGCTATAATATTCAACACAATTTATAATACTATTTGATATAATACTACCAGTATATTACTAAAAGATGGCTATAATATTCAAAACAATTTATAATACTATTTGATATATACTACCAGTATATTACTAAAAGACGGCATTAAAAAATTCAACACAATATAATACTATTTGATAAATACTCCCAGTATATTACTAAAAGACGGCTATAATATTCAACACAATATAATATATTTGATATAATACTACCAGTTATTACTAAAAGACTGCTATAATGTTCAACACAATATAATACTATTTGATATAATATACCAGTATATTAAAAAGACGGCTATAATGTTCAACACAATATAATACATTTGATATTATATTCTAAAGACGGCTATATATTCAACACAATATAATACTATTTGATATAATATTACCAGTATATTACTAAAAGACGGCTATAATATTCAACACAATATAATACTATTTGATATAATACTACCAGTATATTACTAAAAGACGGCTATTATATTCAACTTGATATAATATTACCAGTATAGTACTAAAAGACGGCTATAATATTCAACACAATATAATACTATTTGATATTATATTACTAAAAGATGGCTATAATATTCAACTTGATATAATATTACCAGTATAGTACTAAAAGACGGCTATAATATTCAACACAATATAATACTATTTGATATAATACTACCAGTATATTACTAAAAGACGGCTATTATATTCAACACAATATAATACTATTTGATATAATATTACATTTACGTCATTTAGCAGACACTCTTATCCAGAGCGACTTACAAATTGGTGCATTCACCTTATAGCCAGTGGGATAACCACTTTACAATGTTTTTTGGGGGGGGTTGGGGTAAGGGGGGGGTAGAAGGATTACTTTATCCAATCCCAGGTATTCCTTAAAGAGGTGGGGTTTCAAATGTCTCCGGAAGGTGGTAGTGACTCCGCTGTCCTGGCGTCGTGAGGGAGCTTACCAGTATATTACTAAAAGACGGCTATTACAGTGGGGGAAAGAAGTATTTAGTCAGCCACCAATTGTGCAAGTTCTCCCACTTAAAAAGATGAGAGAGGCCTGTAATTTTCATCATAGGTACACGCCAACTATGACAGACAAATTGAGAAGAAAAAAAATCCAGAAAATCACATTGTAGGATTTTTTATGAATTTATTTGCAAATTATGGTGGAAAATAAGTATTTGGTCACCTACAAACAAGCAAGATTTCTGGCTCTCACAGACCTGTAACTTCTTCTTTAAGAGGCTCCTCTGTCCTCCACTCGTTACCTGTATTAATGGCACCTGTTTGAACTTGTTATCATTATAAAAGACACCTGTCCACAACCTCAAACAGTCACACTCCAAACTCCACTATGGCCAAGACCAAAGAGCTGTCAAAGGACACCAGAAACAAAATTGTTGACCTGCACCAGGCTGGGAAGACTGAATCTGCAATAGGTAAGCAGCTTGGTTGGAAGAAATCAACTGTGGGAGCAATTATTAGGAAATGGAAGACATACAAGACCACTGATAATCTCCCTCGATCTGGGGCTCCACGCAAGATCTCACCCCGTGGGGTCAAAATGATCACAAGAACGGTGAGCAAAAATCCCAGAACCACACGGGGGGACCTAGTGAATGACCTGCAGAGAGCTGGGACCAAAGTAACAAAGCCTACCATCAGTAACACACTACGCCACCAGGGACTCAAATCCTACAGTGCAAGACGTGTCCCCCTGCTTAAGCCAGTACATGTCCAGGCCCGTCTGAAGTTTGCTAGAGTGCATTTGGATGATCCAGAAGAGGATTGGGAGAATGTCATATGGTCAGATGAAACCAAAATATAACTTTTTGGTAAAACCCCAACTCGTCGTGTTTGGAGGACAAAGAATGCTGAGTTGCATCCAAAGAACACCATACCTACTGTGAAGCATGGGGGTGGAAACATCATGCTTTGGGGCTGTTTTTCTGCAAAGGGACCAGGACGACTGATCCGTGTAAAGGAAAGAATGAATGGGGCCATGTATCGTGAGATTTTGAGTGAAAACCTCCTTCCATCAGCAAGGGCATTGAAGATGAAACGTGGCTGGATCTTTCAGCATGACAATGATCCCAAACACACCGCCCAGGCAACGAAGGAGTGGCTTCGTAAGAAGTATTTCAAGGTCCTGGAGTGGCCTAGCCAGTCTCCAGATCTCAACCCCATAGAAAATATTTGGAGGGAGTTGAAAGTCCGTGTTGCCCAGCGACAGCCCCAAAACATCACTGCTCTAGAGGAGATCTGCATGGAGGAATGGGCCAAAATACCAGCAACAGTGTGTGAAAACCTTGTGAAGACTTACAGAAAACGTTTGACCTGTGTCATTGCCAACAAAGGGTATATAACAAAGTATTGAGCAACTTTTGTTATTGACCAAATACTTATTTTCCACCATAATTTGCAAATAAATTCATTAAAAATCCTACAATGTGATTTTCTGGATTTCTTTTTTCTCATTTTGTCTGTCATAGTTGACGTGTACCTATGATGAAAATGACAGGCCTCTCATCTTTTGCACAATTGGTGGCTGACTAAATAATTTTTTCCCCCACTGTATATTCAACACAATATAATACTATTTGATATAATATTACCAGTATATTACTAAAATACGGCTATAATATTCAACACAATGTAATACTATTTGATATAATATTACCAGTATATTACTAAAAGACGGCTATTATATTCAACACAATGTAATACTATTTGATATTATATTACTAAAAGACGGCTATAATATTCAACACAATATAATACTATTTGATATAATACTACCAGTATATTACTAAAAGACGGCTATTATATTCAACACAATATAATACTATTTGATATAATACTACCAGTATATTACTAAAAGACGGCTATAATATTCAACACAATATAATACTATTTGATATAATACTACCAGTATATTACTAAAAGATGGCTATAATATTCAACACAATATAATACTATTTGATATAATACTACCAGTATATTACTAAAAGACGGCTATAATATTAAACACAATATAATACTATTTGATATAATACTACCAGTATATTACTAAAAGACGGCTATAATATTCAACACAATGTAATACGATCTGCCATATATAATTGCAGCTAATCTGTCAGTATCAAGGCATTCACAACATCTGCACAGCCATCTGTAGGTGGTGTTTCTTGAGATTGAGAAGTGTTTAGACATGCATCTTGTACTGTATGTATAAAAGGCGTGTTTGTTTCGGCTAATAAAACAACTTAAACAGCAAGGCTGTTCTAGTAGGCTAGAGGCCGGTCCTCAAGGCTGTTCTAGTAGGCTAGTGGCCGGTCCTCAAGGCTGTTCTAGTAGGCTAGTGGCCGGTCCTCAAGGCTGTTCTAGTAGGCTAGTGGCCGGTCCTCAAGGCTGTTCTAGTAGGCTAGTGGCCGGTCCTCAAGGCTGTTCTAGTAGGCTAGAGGCCGGTCCTCAAGGCTGTTCTAGTAGGCTAGAGGCCGGTCCTCAAGGCTGTTCTAGTAGGATAGTGGCCGGTCCTCAAGGCTGTTCTAGTAGGCTAGAGGCCGGTCCTCAAGGCTGTTCTAGTAGGCTAGTGGCCGGTCCTCAAGGCTGTTCTAGTAGGCTAGTGGCCGGTCCTCAAGGCTGTTCTAGTAGGCTAGAGGCCGGTCCTCAAGGCTGTTCTAGTAGGCTAGTGGCCGGTCCTCAAGGCTGTTCTAGTAGGCTAGAGGCCGGTCCTCAAGGCTGTTCTAGTAGGCTAGTGGCCGGTCCTCAAGGCTGTTCTAGTAGGCTAGTGGCCGGTCCTCAAGGCTGTTCTAGTAGGCTAGAGGCCGGTCCTCAAGGCTGTTCTAGTAGGCTAGTGGCCGGTCCTCAAGGCTGTTCTAGTAGGCTAGTGGCCGGTCCTCAAAGTATTTTTCTCAGGCAGGACCATACAGCACAAATTTGGGGGCATTGCCACTAGCAGATAAAACTGAAACGAAAACGAATCACGAAAAAACGATTTAGTAAACTGAAATAAAATAATTACTTATGCAAATGTGAAAAACAATTTGCATATTTCTTATGTTTTCACTTTGTCATTCTGGGGTATTGTGAGGAAAAAAATAATATATTTAATCAATTTTTTATTCAGGTAACACAACAAACTGTGGAATAAGTCAAGGGGTATGAATACTTTCTGAAGGCTCTGCACTGTGTGTAGGTGGGTTTCTCTGATTTACATTCCAGCTTTCATCCTGAACCTGAATTTATTCTCAAGTTTATTTACCACGTCTCCCATCCTTCCAACAGGACCTGCTGGTGACAGGAGCCTTCGCCATCCTGTGGCTGCTGTCCTCCTCTGCCTGGGGTAAAGGCCTGACTGACGTGAAGTGGGCCACCAGCCCCTCTAACCTGGTAGGCTTAATCTCCACCTGCAAGGACGTCAGCAACAAGTGCACACCTGGAGCAGTGCCTCACATGGGGCGACTCAACTCCTCTGTGGTAGGCTATACGCATCATTAATGTTGGTTATAATCTGCACCTCAATTAATTCCATTTAAATTCAAGGAAACTGCTTAAATAAAATAAAAATAAAATCTGTTTACTTCCTGGATTTAAATGAAATTGAGCCTTACTTCACCTTAAGTCCTCTTTTAAATACCGTGATGCACGTAGCAACATGTCATTGAAAAATGTAACTTACTAAGAAACATGGTTTTTGTCCCCCTCTTATGGCAGATCTTTGGATTCCTCAATCTGATATTGTGGGGTGGCAACTGCTGGTTCATCTTCAAGGAGACATCCTTCCACAAGTCTGCCAACCCCCCTGCGGACGTAGAGGAACGGTCAGGGGTCAGGCCCCTGCCTTCCTAACTGGGCAGGTCTCTGCTGTCAACGGCTGCGTTCCAGACTGCCTGCAATGCAGTCACTGCATAAATTAACCAATCTTTGGGGGCGAATCCAAACTTCCACTCAAATTCTCACTTTGTCATGCATTGATGCCAATAGGAGAAAATGTGACTTTGTGGAAGATTTTTCCCCCTCTATGCGATTTCTGACTTGTTAAACACTTATCCAGGTGTTTTGAGATTTGGTGTGTGTGACTGCTTTGCAGACGATCTGGAACAGTGCTGCTTAGAAATGTCTTCTGGAAACTTAACCACAGTTTCTTTCATGCATTGCCAACATTGACCGGTCCACATTTATTATTCAAAAGCGTTCGAAGTGGTGCATTTTAAGTTCTCTAAATAGGTACAAAATTGAATCCAGCAAATATGGAAGGATACTTTTTTGGGGGGGGGGGTTTGCAGACCATAAATGTACGTCAGAACTAGTTTTGTTTCATGTAGTTAACTCTTTAGTTGATTTAACAGTATATCTAACCCAAAGCAACAATCCAAATCAGTTTATTAAAAAGAGTCGCTGTGTGATTTATTTATTTTTGTTACTTTGTGGATAGTTGTGGACCGTGGTCCTCTGTAGCTCAATTGGTAGAGCACGGCGCTTGTAACGCCAGGGTAGTGGGTTCGATCCCCGGGATCACCCATATGTAAAAATTGATGCATACATGACTAAGTCGCTTTGGATAAAAGCGTCTGCTAACTGGCATATTATTATTATTATTATTATAGTTTCTTGTTTTTGCTGTTCATGTATAAACCAAAAAAAAACTGTGCTTATTACAACGTTACAACAAGGACTTGTTATTTACCACATTTCTGTGATGCCATGATCAGTTCTACAGTCCTTTTATGTAGTCTTTGAAATGTGCCTTTCTTTCTTTGTGCTGCATGGGTTTGTAATATTTAATGTGTTTTAAATTTAACAAGAGTTTTGTATGAAAATAAAGCCAGCAAAGTCCTGTTTTCACTCTGTCACAGTAATGATGACATTCCTACCTTTTGGTCACGACCGTTTAAACTCTGTTCAAAAATACATTTCAATTAGTTACTCTGTGTTCTGTATGGCCTTGGGTCTCTTCTACCTCAGTTGTGTGATAAGCGAAGGCGGAACCTTTTCACTCACTTTTTAAAAAAATATTTCAAATGGTAGTTCTCATTCAGTATGGTTTATAGACAAATGTAATGTAACACACCATTGCAAACAAAGCGGTCTAAATTGAACATTAAAAAGCTGTAAATTATTAAAGAGAACTAGCTGGTAAGTGTGTCTTCTATAATGAGCATTTGTCTTGTTCATGTATGCACTGAGTTTACTACCAGAAATATGTGTACCTTGAAAAATACAGTGTACAAAACATTACATTGACAGTAAACCCTCCACCTCTACATATACAGCCCCCTTAGCCCCAGGACAGTATACCCTCTACAGATACAGACCCAGGACAGAGCACCTCTACAGATACAGCCCCAGGACAGTAAACCCTCCACAGCTCTACAGATTCAGCCCCAGGACAGTAAACCCTCCACAGCTCTACAGATTCAGCCCCAGGACAGTAAACCCTCCACAGCACCTCTACAGATACAGCCCCAGGACAGTAAACCCTCCACAGCTCTACAGATTCAGCCCCAGGACAGTAAACCCTCCACAGCACCTCTACAGATACAGCCCCAGGACAGTAAACCCTCCACAGCACCTCTACAGATACAGCCCCAGGACAGTAAACCCTCCACAGCTCTACAGATACAGCCCCAGGACAGTAAACCCTCCACAGCTCTACAGATACAGCCCCAGGACAGTAAACCCTCCACCTCTACAGATTCAGCCCCAGGACAGTAAACCCTCCACAGCACCTCTACAGATACAGCCCCAGGACAGTAAACCCTCCACAGCACCTCTACAGATACAGCCCCAGGACAGTAAACCCTCCACAGCTCTACAGATACAGCCCCAGGACAGTAAACCCTCCACAGCTCTACAGATACAGCCCCAGGACAGTAAACCCTCCACCTCTACAGATTCAGCCCCAGGACAGTAAACCCTCCACCTCTACAGATTCAGCCCCAGGACAGTAAACCCTCCACAGCTCTACAGATACAGCCCCAGGACAGTAAACCCTCCACAGCACCTCTACAGATTCAGCCCCAGGACAGTAAACCCTCCACAGCACCTCTACAGATACAGCCCCAGGACAGTAAACCCTCCACAGCACCTCTACAGATACAGCCCCAGGACAGTATACCCTCCACAGCACCTCTACAGATTCAGCCCCAGGACAGTAAACCCTCCACAGCACCTCTACAGATACAGCCCCAGGACAGTAAACCCTCCACAGCACCTCTACAGATACAGCCCCAGGACAGTAAACCCTCCACAGCACCTCTACAGATACAGCCCCAGGACAGTAAACCCTCCACAGCACCTCTACAGATTCAGCCCCAGGACAGTAAACCCTCCACAGCACCTCTACAGATTCAGCCCCAGGACAGTAAACCCTCCACAGCACCTCTACAGATTCAGCCCCAGGACAGTAAACCCTCCACAGCACCTCTACAGATACAGCCCCAGGACAGTAAACCCTCCACAGCACCTCTACAGATTCAGCCCCCAGGACAGTAAACCCTCCACAGCACCTCTACAGATACAGCCCCAGGACAGTAAAACCCTCCACAGCACCTCTACAGATACAGCCCCAGGACAGTAAACCCTCCACAGCACCTCTACAGATACAGCCCCAGGACAGTAAACCCTCCACAGCACCTCTACAGATTCAGCCCCCAGGACAGTAAACCCTCCACAGCACCTCTACAGATACAGCCCCAGGACAGTAAACCCTCCACAGCACCTCTACAGATTCATCCCCAGGACAGTAAACCCTCCACGCACCTCTACAGATACAGCCCCAGGACAGTAAACCCTCCACAGCTCTACAGATACAGCCCCAGGACAGTAAACCCTCCACAGCACCTCTACAGATACAGCCCAGGACAGTAAACCCTCCACAGCTCTACAGATACAGCCCCAGGACAGTAAACCCTCCACAGCACCTCTACAGATACAGCCCCAGGACAGTAAACCCTCCACAGCACCTCTACAGATACAGCCCCAGGACAGTATACCCTCCACAGCACCTCTACAGATTCATCCCCAGGACAGTAAACCCTCCACAGCACCTCTACAGATACAGCCCCAGGACAGTAAACCCTCCACACCACCTCTACAGATACAGCCCCAGGACAGTATACCCTCCACAGCTCTACAGATTCAGCCCCAGGACAGTAAACCCTCCACAGCACCTCTACAGATTCAGCCCCAGGACAGTAAACCCTCCACAGCTCTACAGATACAGCCCCAGGACAGTAAACCCTCCACAGCTCTACAGATACAGCCCCAGGACAGTAAACCCTCCACAGCTCTACAGATACAGCCCCAGGACAGTAAACCCTCCACAGCACCTCTACAGATTCAGCCCCAGGACAGTAAACCCTCCACAGCACCTCTACAGATACAGCCCCAGGACAGTAAACCCTCCACAGCTCTACAGATACAGCCCCAGGACAGTATACCCTCCACAGCTCTACAGATACAGCCCCCTTAGCCCCAGGACAGTAAACCCTCCACAGCACCTCTACAGATACAGCCCCAGGACAGTAAACCCTCCACAGCACCTCTACAGATTCAGCCCCAGGACAGTAAACCCTCCACAGCACCTCTACAGATACAGCCCCAGGACAGTAAACCCTCCACAGCACCTCTACAGATACAGCCCCAGGACAGTAAACCCTCCACAGCTCTACAGATACAGCCCCAGGACAGTAAACCCTCCACAGCTCTACAGATACAGCCCCCTTAGCCCCAGGACAGTAAACCCTCCACAGCACCTCTACAGATACAGCCCCAGGACAGTAAACCCTCCACAGCACCTCTACAGATACAGCCCCAGGACAGTAAACCCTCCACAGCACCTCTACAGATTCAGCCCCAGGACAGTAAACCCTCCACAGCTCTACAGATACAGCCCCAGTACAGTAAACCCTCCACAGCACCTCTACAGATACAGCCCCAGGACAGTAAACCCTCCACAGCTCTACAGATACAGCCCCAGGACAGTAAACCCTCCACAGCACCTCTACAGATACAGCCCCAGGACAGTAAACCCTCCACACCACCTCTACAGATACAGCCCCAGGACAGTATACCCTCCACAGCTCTACAGATTCAGCCCCAGGACAGTAAACCCTCCACAGCACCTCTACAGATTCAGCCCCAGGACAGTAAACCCTCCACAGCTCTACAGATACAGCCCCAGGACAGTAAACCCTCCACAGCTCTACAGATACAGCCCCAGGACAGTAAACCCTCCACAGCTGTACAGATACAGCCCCAGGACAGTAAACCCTCCACAGCACCTCTACAGATTCAGCCCCAGGACAGTAAAACCCTCCACAGCACCTCTACAGATACAGCCCCAGGACAGTAAACCCCCCACAGCTCTACAGATACAGCCCCAGGACAGTATACCCTCCACAGCTCTACAGATACAGCCCCCTTAGCCCCAGGACAGTAAACCCTCCACAGCACCTCTACAGATACAGCCCCAGGACAGTAAACCCTCCACAGCACCTCTACAGATTCAGCCCCAGGACAGTAAACCCTCCACAGCACCTCTACAGATACAGCCCCAGGACAGTAAACCCTCCACAGCACCTCTACAGATACAGCCCCAGGACAGTAAACCCTCCACACCTCTACAGATACAGCCCCAGGACAGTAAACCCTCCACAGCTGTACAGATACAGCCCCAGGACAGTAAACCCTCCACAGCACCTCTACAGATTCAGCCCCAGGACAGTAAACCCTCCACAGCACCTCTACAGATACAGCCCCAGGACAGTAAACCCCCCACAGCTCTACAGATACAGCCCCAGGACAGTAAACCCTCCACAGCTCTACAGATACAGCCCCAGGACAGTAAACCCTCCACAGCTCTACAGATACAGCCCCCTTAGCCCCAGGACAGTAAACCCTCCACAGCACCTCTACAGATACAGCCCCAGGACAGTAAACCCTCCACAGCACCTCTACAGATACAGCCCCAGGACAGTAAACCCTCCACAGCACCTCTACAGATACAGCCCCAGGACAGTAAACCCTCCACAGCACCTCTACAGATACAGCCCCAGGACAGTAAACCCTCCACAGCTCTACAGATACAGCCCCAGGACAGTAAACCCTCCACAGCACCTCTACAGATTCAGCCCCAGGACAGTAAACCCTCCACAGCACCTCTACAGATACAGCCCCAGGACAGTAAACCCTCCACAGCACCTCTACAGATTCAGCCCCAGGACAGTAAACCCTCCACAGCACCTCTACAGATTCAGCCCCAGGACAGTAAACCCTCCACAGCTCTACAGATTCAGCCCCAGGACAGTAAACCCTCCACAGCTCTACAGATTCAGCCCCCTCAGAACAGGACAGAGTCAGGTGACAACTACATTCTACACCTCAGCGTGTCAAATACCTGGATGATGAGATTCTTTGGAATATTGCGAAAAGTGACACATTCTCAAGCTCTTCACACCATCTTATTCATAGCAATTGAGAACTGTCTAGGACAGGGACAGGGCAGCCTGAGGAGGATGGAGGACATCTTCGTAACATTGCAAAAATCAGAAACTTTTTGTCTTAAAATGATGCAGAAAAGCTCATCCATGTTTTTGTCACTTCTAGATTAGACTACTGCAATGCTCTACTCTCCATCTACCCGGATAAAGCACTAAATAAACTTCAGTTAGTGCTAAACACGGCTGCTAGAATCTTGACTAGGGCCACCCCTCAGAGCCTGGTTCCTCTCTAGGTTTCTTCCTAGGTTTCTGCCTTTCTAGGGAGTTTTTCCTAGCCACCGTGCTTCTACATCTGCATTGCTTGCTGTTTGGGGTTTTAGGCTGGGTTTTTGTATAGCACTTTGTGACATCTGCTGATGTAAAAAGGGCTTTATAAATAACATTTGATTGATTGATTGATTGATTGATTGATTGATTGAGGAGGAAGACACTCACAAGCCTCAGGACCTCCGAGGACGCAGGACGTACAGCAGGACTTACAGCAGGACTTACAGCAGGACCTACAGCAGGACCTACAGCAGGACTTACAGCAGGACGTACAGCAGGACTTACAGCAGGACTTACAGCAGGACTTACAGCAGGACCTACAGCAGGACTTACAGCAGGACTTACAGCAGGACTTACAGCAGGACTTACAGCAGGACGTACAGCAGGACGTACAGCAGGACTTACAGCAGGACTTACAGCAGGACTTACAGCAGGACTTACAGCAGGACTTACAGCAGGACTTACAGCAGGACCTACAGCAGGACTTACAGCAGGACGTACAGCAGGACTTACAAGAAAGTCTACAGTGCGTCTGGGTGTCATCCCTTCACATGCCTTCTTAGTGCCAAGTCTTTGGCTTTTTTTCATGTTTTTTTTAGTTGTTTCTTTTGGTGATAACCCTGTTTTTAGAATGACATTTTTAGCAGTTCCGATTCACCGCAAATCGCATGCTGATGCTGTCCATCCTTTGGACTTTTATATTGGATCTGATGGGTCTTTATTAGAATCTGTAGTGGTCTCACGGTCCAGCTCCTTCAGTAGATACTCTGTATCCCGCTGCTGACGGACTGACTGACTCCTGTGTTTGTCTTTCCCCAGAGAAAGAGTGACCTTGACAAACACTGTGGACTTTTGGATCCAGAGAGGAAGAAACTCTGCACCAGGCAGCTCATGTGCAATGTAAGATCTCTCACCATCTTCACTTTACCAACTGGGTCTTACTGTCTAGCTGTTGATTATTGCATCTAGTTGTGACAATGTTGTGATTTTGGTTTTATTTGTTGATTTACGAATCGTAGACTATGAAATCTTGAAAGCGAGCAATGTAATTATAGTATCTAAAACGTTAATAGTGATTTTGCTTTATTATAGAAAGGAGCAGATGTTAGAGATGGGTGCAATGCATGAATAGCAAGTCCAATGAAGCACTCAGTACATCTTTCCTCTGAGACCCAGTCTTCCTTCCCAGCACCCCCTCTCTCCTTCTCCCTCTCAGCACCCCCTCTCTCCCTCTCCCTCTCAGCACCCCCTCTCTCCCTCTCCCTCTCAGCACCCCCTCTCTCCCTCCATCCCAGCACCCCCTCTCCCTCCCTTAGGTCTCCTCCCCCCTCCCCAGGAGGAGCCACCATCTCTGGCCCCCAGACGCAACACCAGGGACAGAGAGGCTGGATGCAGCCACAGGTCCCGCCCACCAGAGTTTACCCCTCCCCTTTCTCGGCCCCTTCCTCTCATGAGCATTCGGAAAGTATTCAGACCCCTTCACTTTTTCCACATTTTGTTATGTTACAGCCTTATTCTAAAGTTGATGAAATAGTTTTAACCCCTCATCAATCTACACACAATACCCCATAACGACAAAGCAAAAACAGGTTTTTAGAAATGTTAGCAAATGTATTAAAAATAAAAAACGGAAATATTACATTTACATAAGTATTCAGACCCTTTACTCAGTAATTTGGTGAAGCACCTTTGGCAGCAATTACAGCCTCAAGTCTTCTTGGGTATGACACTACAAGCTTGGCACACCTGTATTTGGGGAGTTTCTCCCATTCTTCTCTGCAGATCCTCTCAAGCTCTATCAGGTTGTATGGGGAGCGTCGCTGCACAGCTATTTCCAGGTCTCTTCAGAGATGTTTGATCGGGTTCAAGTCCAGGCTCTGGCTGGGCCACTCAAGGACATTCAGAGACTTTTCCCGAAGCCACTCCTGTGTTGTCTTGGCTGTGTGCTTAGGGTCGTTGTCCTGTTGGAAGGTGAACCTTTGCCCCAGTCTGAGATCCTGAGGTCTCTGGAGCAGGTTTTCATCAATGATCTCTCTGTACTTTGCTCTGTTCAGCTTTCCCTTGATACTGACTAGTCTCCCAATCCCTGCCGCTGAAAACCATACCCACAGCATGATGCTGCCACCACCATGCTTCACCGTAGGGAGGGTGCCAGGTTTCCTCCAGATGTGACGCTTGGCATTCAGGCCAAAGTGTTCAATCTTGGTTTCATCAGACCAGATAATCTTGTTTCTCATGGTCTGAAAGTCTTTTAGGTGCCTTTTGGCAAACTCAGAGCGGCCTGTCATGTGCCTTTTACTGAGGAGTGGTTTCTGTCTGGCCACTCTACCATAAAGGCCTGATTGGTGGAGTGCTGCAGAGATGGTTGTCCTTCTGGAAGGTATTCCCATCTCCACAGAGGAACTCTGGAGTTCTGTCAGAGTGACCATCAGGTTCTTGGTCACCTCCCTGACCAAGGCCCTTCTCCCCCAATTGCTCAGTTTGGCCCGGCGGCCAGCTCTAGGAAGAGTCGTGGTGGTCCCAAACTTCTTCCATTTAAGAATGATGGAGGCCACTGTGTTCTTGGGGACCTTCAATGCTGCAGATATTTTTTGGTACCCTTCTCCAGATCTGTGCTTCGACACAATCCTGTCTCGGAGCTCTACGGACAATTCCTTCGACCTCATGGCTTAGTTTTTGCTCTGACATACACAGTCAACTGTGGGACCTTATATAGACAGGTGTGTGCCTTTCCAAATCATGTCCAATCAATTGAATTTACCACAGCTGGACTCCAATCAAGTTGTAAAGACATCTCAAGGATGATCAATGGAAACAAGATGCACCTGAGCTCAATTTCGAGTCTCATAGCAACTGGTCTGAATACTGATGTAAATAAGGTATTTCTGTTTAGATTTTTTTTTATAAATGTGACATTTATTTTATAAAAAACTGTTTTCACCTTGTCATTATGGGGTATTGTGTGTAGATTGATGAGGACAATGTTTTATTTAATCCATTTTAGAATAGGGCTGTAACGTTAACAAAATGTGGAAAAAAGTCTGAATACTTTCCGAATGCACTGTACATATTTACAACTCTGACATGATAAATGACCAATGGGGTGGGGGCAGGGAAAATGTCAGTTGGGGGGGGGGGGCGTCTGAGTGATTGAAGCGGGGAGAACAGGGCATGGCTCGGGTGGCTGGGGTCCCTGATGGTCTTCTTAGCTTTCTTCCTGGTGTTGTAGCTGTCCTGGAGGTTCAGGCAGTGTCCACCCAGTGGTTCGTTCGGCTGAGAGTACCAACAACATCTGTAGTGACTTGCGGTCAGTGGCGGTGGAGTTCCCAGATTTCTTCAGCCCCTGAGGTTAAAGAGTCGTTGTCATGCCTTCTTCAACGGTGTCCGTGTGGTTTTGACCATTTCAGCTCCTCTGAGAGGAACTTGACGTTTTTTGACCGTCTCCATGGCGGCCCCGTTGATGAGGATGGGGCCGTGCCCAGCCTGGTTCCTCCTGAAGTCCACAATCAGCTCTTTTGTTTTGCTGACGTTGTGTCTATCTGTGTGTGTTCGTGTGTGTGTTCGTGTGTGTGTGTCTAAATGGATTTCCTCTGTTGGTTTTGTTTGTGACTGAAAGGATCAATTGATTACCTGTGGTGTAGTACATGAACATAGAGATACACTATATATACAGCAGTATGTGGACACCCCTTCAAATTAGTGGATTCTATTTCAGCCACACCCGTTGCTGACAGGTGTATAAAATTGAGCACACAGCCATGCAATCTCCATAGACAAACATTGGCAGTAGAACAGCCTTACTGAAGAGCTCAGTGACTTTCAACGTGGCACCGTCATAGGATGCCACCTTTCCAACGAGTCAGTTCCTCAAATTTCTGCCCTGCTAGAGCTGCCCCGGTCAACTGTAAATACTGTTATTGTGAAGTGGAAATGTCTAGGAGCAACAATGGGACTGCCAAGTGCTGAAGTGCGTAGCGCGTTAAAATCGTCTGTCCTCGGTTGTAACACTCACTACTGAGTTCCAAACTGCCTCTGGAAGCAACGTCAGCACAAGAACTGTTCGTCGGTTTCCATGGCCGAGCAGCCGCACACAAGCCTAAGATCACCATGCGCAATGCCTTGCGTCAGCTGGTGTGATGAATCACGCTTAACCATCTGGCAGTCCGACAGACGAATCTGGGTTTGGCGGATGCCAGGAGAACGCTACCTGCCCCAATGCATAGTGCCAACTGTAAAGTTTGGTGGAGGAGGAATAATGGTCTGGGGCTGTTTTTCATAGTTCAGGCTAGGTCCCTTCGTTCCAGTGAAGGGAAATCTTAACACTACAGCATACAATGACATTCTAGACGATTCTGTGCTTCCGACTTTGTGGCAAGAGTTTGGGGAAGGCCCTTTCCTATTTCAGCATGACAATGCCCCCCCGTGCACAAAGCAAGGTCCATACAGAAATGGTTTGTCGAGATCGGTGTGGAAGAACTTGACTGGCCTTGCACAGAGCCCTGACCTCAACCCCATCGAACACCTTTGAGATGAATTGGAAGGCCGACTGCGAGCCAGGCCTAATTTCCCAACATCAGTGCCCCGACCTCACT